AAGAATATATACATGGGAAACAAACATATTCAAACAAGCAACTCAAGGTTTGGGACTTACTGAAGTATTTGGATCACATTGAAATAAAGTGGGTCATTTAATGTCACGTAGCAGCATTTCACAGCTCTTAATAAGGTCTTCAAAGCACCGTAAGGTTACAAGCAGAGCCCCAAAAAGGCACAACCACTGTGCCCAAAATGCAGGTGCAAGGAAACTGCTAAATTATTTAAAATGTCAACGGAACAGTCTTGAAAAAATCATGAGATCATATGCCAAACGCAGACAAACCGCTGTGTAAAAGAGGAACAACAGCCAGCCTGAAGAAGAAACTTACAGAGCACAAGTATTACCGTGTTATATAAAAAAAATTCGATGCTACTTTTGTCTGTCTCCTTCAGTGTAACCTTTAAATCTCATGTAGCTAAAATAGACCCTCATTTAGCTGTTTAACTGTAATGCAGAGCTTTTCAGCAAATCACAGCTTCTCTGTTCACGCTAGCCTTTCTGCCCTTTCCCCCTTTGGACACTGCTCCTTGTGCTGGCCTGTCACTGATCCCACTTCATTCCCTAAAAATAATAAATGCAACCCCTTGCACTCTCCTTTGGCCCTCATTTTTTTATTTTTATTTTTATTTTGCAATGCTTGGCCCCCCTTTTTTCCCTCACTAACAACATCACTTCCAACTCCCTCGTCAACACCCATACCTGACCCAAACACTCACCCTGCTTCCCCCCCTCCAAAACAGCAGCCAGCAGACACTGAACAGGGCCGCCGCACCTCCTTGGAGAAGTTCACCCGCAGTGTGGTAAGTCATGTGGAGCTGGGGGCTGTTCATATCACAAACCACACTGGCTGGCTCACTATCAGTGGCTTGTTTGCAGTTATAACCATGTTACACTCTGTTGTGAATTTTTTTAAAACCTTTAATAGGACGTGTGTGTGTGTGTGTGTAGTGTGTTTATGTCAATAAGTTAACACCCTAGTCACTTTGAATGGTCACAACCTAACACTTTTTGATCAAACCACATTGCTGGTAGAGATGCTTTGTGTTACTTTTGCTTCTGGAACCTCAGACTGGTAACAAGTTTTCGTTTTAATCTACCTTCTAGGGCAAGTCATTGACGGGAAAACGCCTGACAGGCCTGATGCAGTCATCCTGACACAGCCTGTGCTGCAGGGGCACAGCCAGACCCTGTCGGGTGGGTGGCTGCCACACAGGGGCACAGACAGTGGAGCTGGGCTGGACAGGGCTGCTGTGGAGGCTCTCAGACACTGCTCCGAGGACTGCTGCCATATTGGTATTGCAGCACTGGGCTTGCTGGGGTGAACACCCCAAATTGAAACACTGATGATGAGACAATGTCGACAAGGGGAAACCTCAGCCAACACACAGCACGGCATGCAGAGTACAGTACAAGCAAATGCAGTGCAGGGCTCTTCATCACTTAAGCGGCAAACTGGTTGTGAGTCTCGATGAAGCTGATCAGTTTATTGTTTTCAGGTTGTTTTATATTACGCGTTATTAGAAACGAAAAGAACATCTGCTAAATATTATTTGATAGGACTGCGTGTAACTCACCACAACGTTTGCAGTGATGACTATCGTCTTATGATTTCGGGATCCAAAAATAGCTGCAGCCAATCCTAACTCGGACATAAATACAAAGTCTAAGAGGCACATCAGCACAGACACAAATCTGTTTTACATTTGCCTCTGTACTCACAAAGCAGCCAGCAATAAATAAAGCCTGTCCAGTTTTTTTTTTTGATTGTTTTGTTTTTAGAAATATCCAACCTCTTTTTATATCTTTCTATTATATTTGTGTCCTAAGCGAAGCATGTGTCAGTTAAACAGCGAGCACAGCTTTAGCACTGTGAAAAGACGCAGTACAAAGCCTGTATTCTCCACGCTGAGAGACAAAATGGATTTTTAGAGGTATAACTTTTCATGCTTCATTACATTCCAAAATTTGACATAAGGGCTTAATGTAGCATTCACACTGCACCGTGGCGTGCTTCATCCAAACGTCTGTGTTGAGAATTAATGTTTCATTTCTACAACACTGCTCTGTAATGAGACTCGTGGCGATGATGAATTTCTTCTGGCTGGCAAATTATTCGTTTGCTTTGAGAGGTTCAAAAACGTGGCTGTGCAAACAGTTGTGGTGTGCAGCGCCGTTTAGTCACAGCCATACGTACACAGTCACAGGCCAAATAGCATCTCCGTTTTTTTTAGGCTTCTGCTGTAGTATTTAAAGTATCCAGTGCCATGGGTCCATCTAGTGGTGGCTGAACCACAGGACCAGAAACCAGAGTGTTAAAAGACTGAACTGTGCTGTCTTCATATCATGATATCAGAACAAGTTGATCTCCCGTCTTGGAGACATTACAAGGCCTGCTACTCAATATAGGATCATTTATGGTTTGTTGCTTTTTTTTTTTAAACTGCATGACTATTTTTTAATCACAAAATGTTACCTGATCATTTAAAAAAAAAAACAACCTTTTTTTTTTGTTGTCTCCACGAATTATCTGTCGTGTTTTAATGACTATGGGGGAAAAAAAAAAGAAATATTTGCATGCTGGACTATTATGGAGTGCTAATTTAGGGAAGGATGGTTGGATTCTCCAAAGAGGGCACACAGACAGGGACCAGCCCTGCACCGGAGCAACACTCCTCAGCGAATCAACATCTAAGCCCCGAACTGCAACTGGGAACAATATTTGACCCTCGACAGACGACGCACACCGAAGATAAAAGGCCTCTCTGCTCCACTGTGGCTTCAGACTCCTTCTACATACAGAAAGTGCTTGGACTGAGGAGATTATGGTCTCACAGCTCCCCCATGAGGCCAGTGACTGCTATAGAGATAAACTACGCTGCTGAATGAGTCAATCATCTATTCTTTTGTATTAGAGTCGTTGCAATGCACTGTACAGGTCATATTAGTAATTATTGTTAACATAAACCAGTAACCTCGTTGAGTATAAGGTAGAGAGATATGCTTAACTCGAGTCGATGTACCAAATGTTATCCTCAGCACAAGACACAATGACACTATGTATCGAGTGCATTGTAAATGTAAATTGGCTAAATTTCATTAACCAAAAGCACACTTTATTATGATATGGGCACATTACTATGCATGTAACATATTCAGGGCATTTTGTGCTTTTAGTTTCGCAATCAGCAAGATAACTACTGGCACTCTGAAACACTCAAGCACCTGCTGTCTATTCATGGGTACCAAATAATAAATACTATGGACCTGTCTGCTCTGTGCTGCTGTCTGGGTGTTTTTACTGCCTTGAGCCATATAGCATAAAAGATTCTGGCGGAGATTTAGAGAAGCAGTTTTCATGCCGTAGATATGACGAGTCAAAACAGTTAGAGCCATACGTTTTTTGTAGTTTTGCCTTTATATACACCAGCGTGGATTTTTAAGTCAAACAGTCAAGATGAGGTTGAAGTGCAGATTTTAAAAGGTGTAACAAAAGTGTTACATTAACTGTTTAGGGATTGTTTTTATACGCACTCCACATTGCACTGTAGGGGTGTAAGGAAACAAAATCGTGAAAAAAAGACACCATTAGGTCCAAAATGGAAATATGGACCTAACTTTATAACATCGATTCATCATCTTGACATCACTGAATTGAATTACTAGCTAAAGGAATCTGAAACAGGCTTTTAAAGAGACACTGCATTGGTATTTTTTAAGCATAACAGTTTAAGTGGTGTTGTGTAATAATAAAAATAATAATAATAAACTTTATTTATCCCCTCTGGTCCTAAAATTAGTTCATGGGGCCATTAACAGCTGTTGACTGGAAGATCTCAGACTGTGAGAAGAGGTGTAGGTTCTAGAAGGTCACACAGGGCTACAATTTTATAATGAATTCTAAGATATACCGGTAAAGAGATTAAAACTGGAGTGCTGTTTCTTTCGTGTAGCAGCAGCATTCTGTACCAACTGGAAATGGTCAAGATCCTTCTTATTCAAACACATAAAAAAGGCTGTTACGATAATCAAGACGAGACGAAAAGAGGCATGAATAATCATCTCTAAATTCGCTTTTGACACCAGAGTTCAAAGCTTAGAAACATTTCTCATGTGGAAAAAAAAAACAGTTTCTGATTAAATGATGCCAAGGTTTCTGAGGTTTGGTTTGACAGAAGAGGGCAATAGACCAAGGTATTGCTTGATTTCAGTTATTTGGTTCTCTCGGGGAATAAATAGGGTTTCTTTTTTCTATATCAGAGTTCACCTACAAGTAGTTTTCAGAGAGACTCTGGTTAATACTACTAAAACAATTTATCACACATCAGAAAATTGCCTGATTATTTGGCCTAGGGGCAAAATAAGAGAATAGGTCCCAAGACTGAGCCCTGTGGTACCCCACACAGCAGGCTCTTGGAGACTGGTTTGCAATCCCAACATTTTACAGAGTTCTGGCTTTTAAAAAAAAAAATATATTATTGACGTTTCTCGTATTGTGATCTTATTCCTACCTGCTGCCTAAAATGCTGTTTTACTGCCTGCTGCATTTATTGGAATCGTTTATCTCCTCTGTGTACCACAGTTAACATTCAAATGATGTTTTTGCCACCAGTAAACATTCCTGTCAGCAGACTCTGTTACTCATCCCATTTCTTCAGACTCACTTGTTATTTATCAAGCAGCACCTACTGATCAATAAGATCTCTGTGAGCGAGATCTACTTTTGTTATCTTTGTCTTATACAGAGTCCAGCACTGCCTCTGCTCTCACACACTCGAGAGATGTTTTTCCTCTCTCTCTGTCTGCTCACAGATTCTGAGTCACTGCAGCTTATCGATCCAGTCTAGAAATCTTGTGCTTATCAGAATGACCCATCTCCCTTTTGCAGAAAAACAGCATCAAGCAAAAATATTCCTTTTTTTTGTTTATTTTTTTCAGAACAATAAAAATAGTTTAACAAAGACTTCATTCTCTCTTTTTTGACTATTTACAGCAGAAGATGAAAAAAAAAAAACAAAACAACTAAACAAATTAAAAATAAACAAACAAAACCCCCAAAACGGTCATGTCCATTTCATCTCCTCTTGGCTCTGTTCCCACCCCGATCCTCCCTCTCCACCCTCCTTTGCAGGCTTGACAAGAGAGTACCAGGGCCTATTGCTGTGTCTTTGACGAGGTATACAGGCTATTCAATGATTGGTGACACGTTAAATACGGAGACATCGCTAACCTTTGCACTCGGGAGCTTCGCCTTTTGTTCAGAACTGCACCGCACTTGGCCCGTTCATGTATACGGTAGGTAACACTTAGCAGATTATGAGTGATGACACATGCTTCAACTTACTGGCATGACTGACTTAGGAAGATAAATGACACGATGACCCACTTTTTTTCAGTTTTTCTTTTTTTAACTGTGGAAACAACACGTAACTGAGGAAAACAAGACAACCGACATGTCTCAGATGCATTCCTTGTCCAGTGGAGATAAACTACTGTGTGTGGAGGGTCCCTGAGGGAAGTGAAGAAAGATGGTTTGAATGTACAAGCACTTACGCAAGTCATAAAAGACACATCTAAGATTAATGGTTAGCTTCAAAAACGGAGCAGCTGTTATTACATTGCAGCGATACTGAATAATCACATGGAAGAAAACAGACCTCTCAGACAGCATGTGCAACCAGCGGACCTAAAAAAGCTTTTGGATACAGTACTTCAAGCTCCTTCTAAATGTCATAAAGCAATTAGGCCCTCTAAAGCACTCAATGGAAATGTCACAAGTAACTTGGATTTACACTCGTCACTTCTTAGTAAATAGCTGTATCCCAGCGGAGTAATGTCACTCTAGTAACGATAATTCCAAATGCAAATCCGAGATGAATCTCACTGTGTCACGATCTCTGTAGACTGTAGAGTTTTTGCATGCCATGGGTGACAGCAGGTAGAACGAGCATAGAAGAGACAGAGCTGAAGCTTATTATTGCAATGTTTTCCTATAGCATGAGACTGCAGTATTCCCAGGCCCTACTGGGAGTCGGGATCCACGCATGTTACTCTGCCAACTGAGAACAATCACATAAAATCAGGGCTGAGTGGCTGAACAATCAACAGCAGATGAAGTGAAAAGATGCCTGAGTAGTTGTGGCTATTATGCACCTGATCAGGACAGAGGTATCAATACAGTCTGAGCAAACGCGAGAAGTCATGCCATCAAACTTTAAAACATAGAAATATTATACAACAGAGAAAATATGCAACAAAAAAAGTGAGCTAAATCATCCATTTGAGATCAGAGAGGCAGAGGAAAAAGGGAGCAAAAACAGGTTGAGGGCCAGAAGCAGAAAACCTGTGTCCACACCGGGGTATTATTACAGTAGTCCAGAGGTCTGCATGTAATAGTGGTGAGTTTGAGCACCATCTCTATGGCTGCAGGTCAGAGGGTCACTGGTCCAATCAGGTTGGAGGGTCATGGCTGTCAGAGCTGATTTCCAGTGCAGAGCGGCAGGCTGGCACAGTGATGAGGATAATGACGTCTTAGTGTCACATCGGATCACACAGCAGACACACAGTTGCAGAGCAGGAGTGGGCAGGCTGGGCCGCAGGGGCCCCAAATGCACCCGTTGGGCACAAACAGTCCAAAGGCCTGGCCTTTAGTGTTCCCATAGTTCTGAGAGGAGCTCCAGCACAGTGCAGAAAGGATAAAATGAAGCCGGATACTCACATTTCAAATGTTCACAAGGGGTCGATATATACTGTCAAGGGAGCAGTTGCTTCAATTAAGCCACATGGCTGGGAGAAGTGATGGATGCCTATTCATCCGTTTCAGTCAGTTATTTCAGGCCCAAATCAGGAGGGACATGAAGGCTCATTAGTTTTTGAGGGTTAAAATCCTCTTCTTCACTGGTCACCCCCCAGCCCTGGGCCACATGCCAATGTGCTGAGTGCTCCTATGTAACACAGACAATAACAGTAAGCCTCACGCATAATATGTCTGAGCAAGAGTTAAGATCTGCAGCCATGCTAGCAGCTTTTCGAGTTTAAACTAGTTTAGCACAAATACAACAGGAGCAGGGCTGTCAAAACATCAGATTTCTACAAAAAAATTGTCACGGCCATAATAATTGATAGCGGATATCTATAATAAAAAAGAAACATCAAATCTTAGTTATGGAGGTACCCAAATCATAACAACATTTTTTTTTTTTGCTATACGCTAATAAGGTGAAGTCTACAGAAAACCTTCAAAAATTACAACCCCAATTCTAAAAAGTTGAGACAAAATGTAAATAAAAACAGAATGCAATTATTTGCAAATCTCATAAACCTATATTTTATTTACAATAGGACACACAGAACATGGGACATGTTACTCTTTCAAGAAAATTATTTGCTCATTTTGAAAAGCAAAAAAGTTGGGATGGAAGCAACAAAAGGCTGCAAAAATAATTGGTACTATAAAGAAACGGCGACCAATTAGATTCAATGGCAACAGGTCAGTAACATGAATGAGCATAAAAAGAGCATGTTAGAGAGGCAGAGTTCCTCAGAAGTAAAGGTGGGAGAAGTTCACCACTTTGCAAAAAATGATCTACAAGTAAAGATAAAGTATTTCATCATCTGTAATATTTAATATTATCAAAACATTCTGATAATCTGTAGATATCGTCCAAGATTTCAGTATTGGATGCCTGTAACCTTCAGGCACTCAGACAGGCATGAGTCTGTCATGGAAATCACTGCACAAGCTCAGAAACACATATAGAAATCATCTGTTTAGTGTTCAGATGAACAGAAATTTGAATTTCATTTTGGAAAACATAGATGCCGCCTCCTCTCATCTAAAGACCACGGCGTTCTAAACCCTGCTGCTCTGATGGTATGGGGCTGCATTAGTGCCTATGTAACACATCTGGAAAAACATCAGCAATGACATATAAAAGTTTTAGAGCAACATATACTCCCATTCAAACAACATGTTTTCAGGGAAGAGCTTGCTTTCTTCAGCAAGACAATGCTAAGCCACATACAGAATCTATTACAACGGCATGGCGTGTTAGTCAAAGAGTCCAGATGCTGCCTGCAGCTCTGACCTTTCTGAAAACACGGGTTTATGAGATTTGCAAATCATTTTGAATCCATTTTTATTTACATATTTCAGAGTGTCCCAGTTTCTTAGCAATTGTGGTTTTACGATTTCCGATAGTCATCAACATAATTACCCTTTTAAATATCACTGCATGTCAAAGAAACATAAGTAGAATATTTGCGCCATCAGCTCTGGTACAATACGATGGGAATGCCATTTATTTTGCATAAAGCAAGTTTTTGGACAAACTCAAAATATGAGGTAATTAAAACTCTATATTACCAGACAAATTTCCTGGCAGTTCATCAAATATTTCTTCAGATAGTTACTAAACACACAAATGTGAACTCATTGTGCTACTACTACTACTACTCAAGGCACCAAAGTTATTAGGATTCAACTTCTAAGCGTCATGAATGGATGCATCAAATGTCACAGCAGTACATCTGTGATTTGTTGGGAGATTTCAGTCTGGACCACAAGTGGTGCTCCACTGTGCCGTGTTGCAAGCATGTCTGAAAACTAGACCAATGTTGGACTACAAAATGCTTGTGCATGACCCATAATTAGTTTTATTGTCAGGTACAATATGCAAAAATGCAGTTTGTCTAAATCAGATTTAAACTGGTAACAATCACTCGCATACCATCTATTCTCGTCTTGTAATCTACTTGTTCTCTGACAAGGTACCACAAACGCTTACCTTTGATTTGATTTGTCCCCCTTGTGTAAAGACTATAAAGGTTTCTTCATCCAAACATTTCCAGTGGCCTGTGGCACTCCTTTCATTGGTTCCTTCATTTTCATACGTTCAATTCAGAGTTAGAGCAGAAGAAGAGGTCTTCATAGTCACACTGACTACTGATTCAAAAATATCCAGTAGTTCTGCAATGCAAGTATGGGTCTGCAATGACATTCAATCATCTACCAAACTTATCATTCACTTAAAAAACAAAAAGTCTTGTCTGCAATTTTCCAATTTCTCCAGTGTTTTTGTTCATAACCCTTCTGCTCCAGTGAGGGAAGAAAAAACAAAAAACAAAAAGCCACACTCCAAAAAACTTCCATTTTGCACGGAGTCACTTGTCAGGAAACACTGACAGTCCTTTGTAACCTTAAATGTCATTTTATAGATATATATCTATATATATATAGATATATATATATAAAGGTGTTCATAAATTAATTAACAATGTTCAGTAGATAAAATACCACTTGCTTGCATTTCCGTCCTGAAATCATCACTTTGTGCTTTCCGCAAACAAAAAAAAAAAAACCATTGAAAAAGAAGCAGCAGATTTTTGCCAGAGGTTAATCCATATTAAAAAAATGTCTCTTTAAGTCTAAAAGATTTTCTCTATCTGTGACGGCCGGGTATCCCATTGCCGTTTGCAGCCGGCTCTTCCAGCTCGTCATCCTCAAAGCCATGAAAAGTGGAAGTGTCGCTCTCTGAGGTGGTGCCGAAGAGCTCCTCAGCTCCAGTAAAAGTCCCGTCTTCCTTCTCTTCTCCACAGTCAGCTGGACAGCAACAGAGTCAAGAAAGAAAATCACATGGCAATCATCACAGCATAATAAATCATGCAAAGATATATGTGAACATACTTGTGCACTGGCAGGCTGAGTAGGGAGATCCAGATTTACCCGTTTTCTTGTTTGAGCCCTGGCATTTATTACAGTAACTGTTGGGAATGCTGGTCCCACCTGGACCCTTTGGACCTAAACAGGAATTTCCAGAAAGAAATCAAAGTTTTAATTACAGTTGATTTAACCCAGATTATGTTAGGCACCTATACAACTTATACAAACAGAATATAATTTAAGTGAAATTTGTCCTGAAGAAGTCAGTTTGCAGATATAATTGTTTTTCAATTTTAATTGCATTAAATAAAATTACATTTAATTTAATTACATTTGTCTAATGTCCCCCCCCCAAAAAAAAGCAACAACTTTGAAATATAACCAGAACAGGGTTGACAAGAAGCAAAATAATTGGGGTGAATATAACTTAAAGTGTTAAAAAAGAGGAACCTAAACAGGAGCCACAGGTGTCACATTTACTTACGTTTGTGTCTGTCAGTCTGTGGTGCAGTGGGGGGTTGGGAGGCAACTGTGCTCCTTTCCCCGGCTCTGTCCTCCTCTGCCAGGTGGGAATGGGTGTAGTGGTAACTTAGTCCTGTGCGGTTCCTGTAGCGCTTTGCACAGACTGCAAGAAACACAGGGGAGATGATCAGTCTCACTACTGTGGCTGCGTTTCATTATATAAATATAATTCTGGGAACACAGCATTTCTAAACGTAGAGTTGGGCAGGTGTTTTTCCCCCCTGCATCATCTGGCCATTTGTTTTTAGGATTATGGCTGGTTCTCATAGAGACCTTCACAAAGCTTATGAGTTAAAGTTCCACAGAGCATCTGCTTAGATGGTAATAATGTCAAAGAAACATAGCTACAAAATATTTGTATGTACCCTTTTGTCTTTATAGGCAACAACAAAGTGCAGACTAATAGCATCATTGAGCATGGAAAAAATTCTATCTAATGGAGCTAACTATTCTACTTCTGGCACCAGCACTTTAAGATCTGAGTACAACAGTGAGTTAAATAAAACACCAAGCCACACATCATAATAACCGTGGCTCAGATTCAAAGCACCAAGGGCACTTTTCAGCTTGAGAAAAATAACATAATGTAAGGGCTTAATCAATAATGGCAGCTCTTGCAAAAATACCACTCAACAACCGATCAAAATAAATATCTAAAGAACTACAGTCAGAACAACAAATCAACGTACCTGAGGTTGAAGATTTGGAGTTCTGCCTTTGTTTGTATCTGTCTGAAACAGAAAAGACAAAAACACAAGAAGAAAGAGAAAAGATGAGGGTGTGTGTTTTTCCATACAGAGTCAGCAAATGGAGTAAAATCCAATACCCCTTACTTGGATTTTCCACATGCAACTTGCATGTACAAGAATAGCTAAGACTGCAGTGGCAGTAGTTCACAAAGTTTTATCCTGTTAAGTCCATAATTTGTTTTGCAAAGACACATTTTTTGTAGTTTTGCCTCTGTGCACCATCACCGAGTGGATTTTAAATTAAACAATCAAGATGTCGTTGAAGTGCAAACATTCAGGTTTAAAATAAGCAGGTTTTACAACAATTGTGCATCAACTGTTTAGGAATTACAGCCATTTCAATACATGGTCTCATTTTCAGAGGCTCAAAGGTAATTGGATAATTGGCTGACAAGCACTTCTCTTGTTATTTTATGACTAATAAGAAAGCAGATCTAATCAGGGGTGCACATAAGTGGTCTGCAGGTGCGCATTCGCTGTCAAAATAAAAGACGCGCACCAGATAAGAAGTTGCAACGCGCGTTTGCGTACATATAAAAGGCACTGTTTTTGTCTGCTAGAGTGGGATTTTCACGGCATATTCTGCACGACATCTCTGTGCGTTCATCATTTGTTTGAAGCCAGCTCACCTCCTGCAACCACTTTTCCGAGAATACGCGCTTCTTTTGCGGTTCGGACTCCTTCTGACATTTCTTTGGAGGTGGAGGAACACCAAAGTAACTGCTTAAAGGAGCTTCTTCGACATCTTTAAGAGTTCTAAACAAATGTCTGTCCTCCTCCAGAAAATCTTATGTATGCAAACGCGCGTTGCAACTTCCTATCTTGTGCGCGTCTTTTATTTTGACAGCAAATGCGCACCTGCGGACCACTTATGTGCACCCCTGGATATAATATTGGAAGCTTATTCAAAGTGTTAAATTTCTATCCTTTTTGTTCCATTGTGATTCTAAATGAGATGTTAATGCAAGTGAGTGAGGCAGTCATGAGGCTGAAATACCCCAAAAAAACCATTCAGAGAGATGGGAAAAACTTTCCAAGTGGCCAAATCAACAATCTGGTGCATGATTCAAAAGAATGAATGCACTGTACTGGCAGCTCAGCAACACCAAAACCTCTGAAAAAACACAGAAAAGTGCATGATGACAGAATTATTTCCATAGTTCAGAAAACCAGCTTCACATCTAGACAGGAGGTAAACTAGACACATCGTTATCAAGATCTACAACCATGAAACGCTTTCATGAATCAAAATATAGCGCAGGCTGCACACCAGTGGTTACACTCAAGATTACAAAGGTCAGATTAGACTTTGTGAGAGAACATCAAAAAGAGTGTGCACAGTTCTGAAACAAAAAATCTCTACAGATGAAATCAAGGTCAACTTGCACCGGAATGACTAAAACAGAAAGCTATGGAGAACAAGACAAACAACTCATGATCTGAAGCAATCCACATCATCTATCAGTATGGATGGAAATCGAGAACCGGTTCCTAGCAGTCGAATTCCTCGGAATTGTTAGTCTGCCTGCCTATACATCCCACTTATCAGTTCTTGCACTTCCGCTAAAATCTGCTGATGTCAGTTGTCGTCGTCGGAAAATAGTTGAGCAGTTTACAGCGTGGATATGGACATTACTTTTAATTTTATTGCACTAAAGGACAAGAGTGTAATGGTAAAGAGCAAAATGCATCCAGGACAGAAGTAACTGTATTAAACTGTTAACACACCTTCGGTCTTAGCAAGCAGCTGTACAGACAGCATGCTAACGCTAAGCTATCCAAAAACCCAGAGTGGTGCTAAAGCCGAGTGAATGACGATCCCAGCCCAGGACTGGAGTCAAGTAATTCGTCATTTGGGAGCAGCGGTGAAGTCAGTCGCCGCTAAACTTCCTCAGGTAACAAAAGGATGAGCAGTCAAGCTGCAACCTCCGTTTCTACCTGTTCATGGACGTAAAATCACTGTGGCGATTGCTTTGAAGTCTCTTTGTGCTTCATTTTTGCTTTGTTCTGTTTGCTTTCTGTTCATACCTAAATACTAAGACAGATCATATGTGTGTCCCCATTAGGACAGGGATTTGTTTTGGTGTGTTGGGCTGTAGCCTCAGGTTTATATTGTTTAATGATAATGAACAGACAGTGTGCTTCAGGTCATTTTACAGAGCAACATGAAAGTAATGTTATGAGTAGTATAGTGAATTATTTTCTCCTTAATTAAGTAATGTACTGCATTATTTTTAACAAAAGTGTTCTGTGTAATATGTGAAATAAATTATTCACAACAAAGAGAGGAAAGGCATCCAACACGCACAAGCAGTTGATCACACGACATGCAATTAATTGGCACGAATGTAATGTCTTTGATATGATGGCGGTAACTCTCAAAGCAGAGCTAGTGAGAGCCCAATGAGAATCAATGGGAGAATTGACAAGGAATCGAATCAATAAGTAATATCAATAAAGGAATTGGAATTGCTAAATTCTTATCAATTCCCATCCGTTTCTGTCAGCCGTAGTGGAGATAATGTTATAGTAAGGCATGTAGAGGTGCTGGTAGTATTGGGTCACTGGTGTTAATTGATGATGTGAATGCTGATACACAGACAGGACAAATTCCACTGTGGTGGTGTACAATAGCAAACCTACAAAATTGTTAAAGTTTAACAAGTCTAGAGGACAAGAGGAAATCTTGATCTGTAGGTGCTTTTAACAGCCTCACAACCAAGGAAAGCCTTTTTCTTATCCTTTCTCACACACAGCAAGACAATCTCTGCATCAGACGTGTTCTCGCTACTGAAAATACCTAGCTTGGTTTAGGTCAGAGGTCAGAGCTCGGATAGAGGGTGTAGGAGGCAGGACACATGATGCCCACTCACAGAATTCATCAAACAATTACCTGCTCCTTTTTTCACATGAGCTCAAACTGAATAGGTGCAAGGGTAACGTCTATTTAATGGTTGACTTGCACCCAAACACATTCTGTTCCATTGAGTAATGTCTGGAAAAGTTCAGAGCTGCAGTGCAAAGTGTGAAAGCGGCTTAAACATTATTCTTCCAATTAGGTCTAAAATATAAACAGACTCTGTAAAAAGCCTGTCCAATTTATTTTATCAGTGAGGAGTGTAAACAGTAGTACTCTAGGAAACTGTTAGTCTCGACTGTACAAGGTTACAACGTTAGATAACAAAATGAGAAGAAGAAAAAAAATAATTCAGCAGATTATCTACAAATCATCTGTATGAAGGTTAAATGATTTAAGAATTTGTCTCGACTTACTATCACAGACATATGGCTTATCATCATCTAGATCTGTCCTCCTGCGACCTGAACCCCGACCCTGAAGAAAGGCAAAAAAATAAATAAATTCAATGAGACTGTCTGCTATGGAATCTGTGTTTTTAACATACAGACGTAACACATAAAAGATCAGCCTGAGTTAACGGTGATTTGACTTATTTGATTTTTCTAAACTGCATCTCCAGTATGTGTCCATCATCGTTTCTCCAGCCACTTACTCTTCCTTTTCCCCGATGTCTCCGCTTGGGAGTGTCTACCTCGTAGTCATCATCGTCATTGAAAGCATCTTCTGCTGCATCTGCCTCCAGAACCCTCTGGGACAGAGAGAGATAGAGTAATGGATGATCAGTACTGATTAGAGCTTAGCTAGCTAGAGGAAAGGGGGGAAAAATAAATAAAAACACTGTGATGAGGCAACAGAAGTTAAGAGGAACTACAGATTTTGATCACATCAGTTGCAAAGCCTGTGAGGATTTGGGTCAACAATGCCCTCAGCCCTAACCTTGACATCTTTAATACATCTCCATTTTCATTTCGATCCCAACAACAAAGCTATAAGGCTTTTTAAAATCTTAGTTTAGAACAAACATTTCAAGCATTAACAAAACATTTTAAGCACATTTCTCCCCCCAAAGATTTAATATCTTTATACGTGCAGTTTTTGTGACTACTGAAAGTTATCGTTCTCCTCATTTATTTGGAAAGGGTTTTGGTCTTGTTCACGCAAAATAGTATTACCAGAGCGGCTGCAGAGTGGCAAGATTTCCTTCTGAAAGGACTTGGCCATTATGCTCCAAGCACCCTCTTTCCATAAATATGGATGTTTCCACAAGTGTATTTGGTAATGTGTGATGCTAGCAGATATACCTGCCTTTGACTTGCAACAAGAAACAATAAAGATACTGACATTTTTTTCACAGGCAGAGCTACTGCATTGAAAACTCAAGTTCTATATCTTCCCTTTTCCTAAAATGCCTCTCAGTGAGACAACAGTCATCTAACAAGCACCGCGGGTCAGCTGGAAAAACTTGGCAGGTTGCCTTGGCAACCAGTTGGGGCACTAAACATCACTGTGAGTGCCAAGGCCTTCGATCGTTTAACTGATACCACACAAGATTAACATTTTAAAATGTTTACCGGATGCTATGAACCGCACTGATCCACACGCAGTTTGACTGGACCCACCTGGATCTCCAGCAGGCTCTCCTCGTCGTTCTTGGAGGCGTTCCTCTTGTCTAGGCCCTCTCCACGAAGCAGAGCTTCCAGTGTAGTGCTCTGAGTCGGCAAAGTGTCCTTTGACATGAGACCGCCGTCTGCATGAAGACAAATAACAGGCAACATGATGAGTCATCACAACACCGGCTTAGTGTTTGTCAACTGTGCGCTTTAAGTGAAAACGTCAGAGTGCTAATACACAGCATGTGCAGTGTATCACCATCAAGCACTATAATTTCGATAGGAACCAGCAGTGTCACAAACTGTGACCTGCATGAGCAGCTTTTATCAGCATAATTCCATTATCTTCCTTCTCTTCCACTCTTACTAGAACTCATAAAAGCATGTGGCAATTTGGTGTAGCATTTGTTTTTTCTAATGCTTATCATCTCTTTGGCCTGCAGCAGAATGTGTCATCACAGCCATTTTTCCACAACAATATACTGCTGGAAAACAACAAACAACAAAACATACATGTTCTTGCTCTGAGGAAGACTGCACGTCACTGAGCTCTCGGTACTGTTGCCCTATGCGGACATTATGCTGACTTTGTCCACAGGAATGTACTTATGTGGCTTATCACTTTAACTTGAACACATGCAGATATCTCCTCCTACACTGACGATCTAAACAAACAGTGTAGGAGGCGAGCAGGTTGAGCAGACAAAGCAGAACAAACAAAAGCTTTGACAGCTAGTCGGATCCACACATCTTATTTGCACAATCTCCTCTACAGAGAGCTTCATGATCATCCAGTTGCTTTGTGGGTCTTTGAAGAGGACATACTTCAAAGCCCCAGGTTTTGCAGAATATTGAGCACGTAGGACCTGAAACAGCAGAGGACTGCATAGGTGAGAGGCAGGCACAAAGCGATAGGTACGAGAGGGAGAAAGCTCTATGCTTCTTAAAAATTGGCCTTTCCACCATGTGGCAGCAGCCCCTCACCATTGTGTCTGCACACGTTGACTTTCAACTCTCCGCGACGAGACAACCCCCCCCTCACCCCATCCTTTCCCTCCCTCCCTCTCTCTCCCTCTCTCAACCCATGGGAGCTGGGGGGGGGGGGCTAAAAATAGAGCCGGCAGCAGCCTGCAGCAGGGAGCTGATTCTGCATGCAGCCCCAGTCCCTCTAGCACACCATCAGACAGTGAGCCAGACTCTGGTTGCTGCCCTGAGCTGGCCACCTCTGGCCAGCTGTACAATGTGCTCCATATAAGAGACGCCAGGTTAAATCGGGGTACGTTTCCCCTCTGATGGGCACTCACAGACAGCGCATACCAATCCACTTTTTATTGGAGAAGGGAAGGGACAGCAGGGTGGTGGTGTGGTCTCGGCAAGCACAAGCTCAGTGGAAAACAATAGGCTACAATGGGATGTGTTTAGGAAACAAAGGCTTTGTTCACATGCTGTCACTACATCTTGGTTTCTCTTTCCAGTCTCTCTCGCTCTCTCTCGCTTCCTCAACATCCCAACAATTTTTCCTTCTAACATGCAAAACACATAAACACAGCACCACAATCTTGGAGATTTCTGTCAAAACATTATGCCATTTTCTTTTTGCAGAAACTACTTGAAAGAGAAAGAAGTAACCTTGCATTTCTGTCTTTATTCCTTAAGATAGCGTAACCTCCCAGTGGGTATGAAAGCTTTGGGCACAGAATGGACCTGTTACTCGGTGTTGAGAAAGACTGGCCACCAAACACAGACACACTGCGTGGCAGGCTACAGGGAGAGAAAGATGAAAGAGTTGCCAGAGAGAAAGAGACAAACCCAATCAGCAAGGGAGGTGGCAAGTAGAAAATAAGATGGAGTGAGAATATAGAGAGGGTAAATGTGTTGAGTGAGCTGTTTCAAGTGGCAGTCAGAGAAGACCAAACTTCATTCCATAACATTTATTAAATACTGTCTGCAGTGGCCAAACTCTGTCTCGCTGCTCCCAGCAGCGGTAAATCTAATTACATGTTCTACTTCTCACAAAACAAGTTTACCAGCCGTGGTGAACACAGCCACATTTCATCCTCTGAAAAATGACTGGCAGCCTGCTCTGCTCATTGCGCTGAGACTGACTGATATGCTTTTAGTGAGATTATTCCAGATCATCACCAGTAATCACATGAGCTGAAGGAGGTGGGTGGAGATCGAGGGGGAGCCGGCTGAGTGGGAGGAGAAGCTGAGTGGAGCAGAGAGCGGTGGGCAGGTGACATGCCGAGAAGAGGCTGCAGGGTCTTACCGAGCTGGAGGCCGTAAATGCCCAGGCGGGGATCTGTGGAGTTGTGCAGCCGTCTTTTCTTTCGCCAGCAGCGGGCGGGGTACGTGTACATCTGTCCGGCTGCAACACCTGTAGAATTGATGCCATGAATGAAAATTCAAGTCTCATAGCAATTTGTTTGTTTCGACATAAAGTCCTTCAAACTTTTTGTTTTTCTCTATGCCTGCACCAATTTTTCTGTCCGAGACTGACAGGACAGTCTCCAAACCACCAAACCAAAACAAACTAAACCAAATCATGATCATTTACTAATCCTAGCCAAGTAGTTTTGTTCCCTAAGCTTCACTAAAAAGCACTTAATAATGTATTTTATGTCTTTTAGCTGAAGGTTACTTTCCACTCCCAAACACTAATACCCTTTTTCCATTAGTACATACTCTGATTGGCTCGACGTGACTTGGTTTGGCTCGACTCGTTTTCTACCGAATAAGCGTAGGGCTCATTACAGTAACGTGACCGAACGTCCCATGACATCATTTGTTTGGGACACAAATGCCACAACAAAGGAGGAAGTTGAGGCGATGGCATAACTGCTGCTCAGTCTGTGGCTTTTTGTCAAACTTTTTTTGTGTAGCCATTTCTCTCGCTGCTGGGTTTCAAGATCGCTGTTTTGATTTTCATGAAGGAGACGCTCTCATAACTCATCGAGTGATGTCGCTGACTATCTAATTGGTGGAATTCAGTCTGTTGATGTCACCTTTTCGGATCATCTCGGATCCCTTGGAACCCCGGCCAAGTAGGTACTTGAAAAGTACCTGGTACCGGGTAATAATGGAAACACTAAAAACCGCGTCGAACTGACCCAAGTCTTCTTTCTTTTTGCATGCATAGTGTGGGTGTTTTCACTCACCGGGGCTGCGATGGTGACGTTCCATCCAGATGTAGCAGTTGTTCTGGGCCACCCCGGTTTGAGAGTCCAGGAATGGCAGGCGGACGCTGCGTTCAGCGCACAGGCGGGCATTGTAGCTGCGGCACTGCTCAATGGCCTCTTTATAAAACTGGTCGCCCAACCTGTCAAAAATAAGCAAAGATCAATGACAAGGGTAGATATGGTTGGTTAACTTTAACTAATTGTAAATGACATCACCCACTGGTTAATGAACTCCTGTTTTTAACCTACGAGCATTAAAACACACCTTCACTACATGGGACTCCTAAGGGGTGGATGTGACGAACATTACTTGCTCATACAATACCAACCGATCGATCAAAATGTATGTTTACCTTGAAGCACATTCTGCTTTATCATTCATTTTGACTCTAGGGGGACAACAGACACTGTGCAAACAGACACACCGCGTTGTAGAGATGCACCGACTGATCAGTCAGGGACCAGGATCGGCCCATTCCTAGCATGCTGACCCCTGACCCATCTCACTTATGTCCAATTAGAAGCCGGACTGTTTCGTGCACAACAACACAAGGAAAAAGCAATTCAAGTGCATACTCACAGCCGTGTGCTAAGATGTCATCAGAGTAAACTCACTTCACTGTGAGTGAAGACACAAAATTCACACCTGGTGAAATCTATTGCATTTGCTTTTGTTTGGTAAGAGAGAACATAGTAGGTAAAGGTGCATCTCATTTTCAGCACTTTTTTGTCAGGGGTTTAAATGAGAGGAGATCCAGAAAGTTGCTGCAGTTTGGGGAAAACTGTAACGTGTACTAATGTCTTTTAATCTAAAAAAAAGTTACGCGTTGAAGAAAGGTTCATAGAAAGAAAATTGGGATCAACAAAAATTGGTACTGACAGGACACACTATCAATTAGGGCTGGGCGATACGGCCTAAAATTCATATTGCGATATAATTTGAAGCATGTGCGGTAACGATATATATCGCGATATATTCTTTTCTTCTGTATAACGTATTTTCCACACTATAAGGCACACTGAAAATCATTTAATTTTCTCAAAAATCGAGAGAGTGCCTTATGTATGAATTCTGGTTGTGCTTACTGACCTCGAACCGACTTGGGCTGCAGAAATCTGTTAAAAAATGTTTTGATGGATTGTCAGAGCATTACGGCTGCTGTAGTGAGGAGCTTTGTGGAGTAATCTGGGTCCAAAACTCCGTCCACTTCAGGTCCCAAAGTCAAACGAACACTGAGAGTTGAAAACTGTCTAAATTCTTTCATCTTTAATAAAATCATCAGCGTTGCTGCTTTACCAGGTGTAACAATTAAGTTTAACATCCAGGCATCCATGAAAACAGAATTTATTAAATTTAACGGAGTTAGAAGTTAGCAGGAAGTTAACTTCTAGTTTACACCTAAACATGACATACCATGTTCTGACTGAGAGATTTTTGAAACTAATTAAAACGTACAGCTCTGCTATCACTTCCAACATAAATGAAGACAGAAAACTAAACAGCGATGGCGTTTGCAGGGTTACTGAAGTTGGACTACCTGGTAATGTTGTGCTACGTGATTGCATTAGCACACTGAAGCTGGAGGATGAACGCCAACTTTTTTTCCACTCGATAAAAGTTAACGTGAGGGATTCTGGTGGTCAGGGACAAATGCAATCACATAGCAGGATGCTATACACGGGCCAAACTTCAGTCAGGAGAACAACTGAGATTATTCATCTACAATACTAGGTTAGTTATTAATATACTGCAACAACATGGGAATAGAGCAGCTGCGAGAGAATTCAACATTAATAAATCAATGTTACGGAAGTGGAGGAAGCGCAGTTTTTGGCTTTCCCCATATTTCAAAAGTGCTTCATCTCTTTGCTATGACTGTCGCCCGCCATAATTTGCAGATGATAATGGGTGTAGCCTGTAGCTTGATGACATCATCAACATGCGCTATCGCGATAGAGCGGTATAGTCAAAATCTCTATCGTTGGCCAAATTTATATCGTTTCTATCGTATATCGTTTATATCGCCCACCCCTACTATCAATGTTACATTTCTTTTTAGAAATTTAAATCAGCCAAGAAAAACATATTGTATTCAACAAAAACTAGGGATTGAGACCATAGCCCCAGCAGTAAAGTGTTTCCTGTACATGAATATGGTAGTGCAAATGTGTCCTTTTGCATATGAATTTCCACACAGAAAAAAAAACTCAACTGCACATCGCTGGATGTGGGTGACCTGTGTGTTGGTCGAATGCTGAATGAATGACAAGTGGACCCAGACAGGGAAGGGAGTGACAGTGGAGTTCAACGGGGAAAGAAGTCTACAGAGCCAAAAATACAATATGAAAAGTACATACTGTGGCTGCAGTGGACACTTCATTGCTTTTAACAGTCTAGGTTTCACTTCAGTTCTTTGTATGTTAACTTCTCCACAGCTGGCTGATGGACCAACAAAAGTACATCAAGAGTAGCCCACAGACCGGTTGCATCACATACTTTGCACACTGCCTCTATGGACAACAGAACACTCTCTGCAGGTAGACGGGCACTCTGCAACTGCCCACGGACTGCCTTTGTGCTACCACTGCTGAAGTATAATTTCAACATCAAAGTATTTCTTCCAGAATACTTTTTTACAATCGGCGGAGTCGCTCTTTGCTGGCCACAACCCACAAGACCCACAAGCTACATCCATCTTTTATATACAGTCTATGTACAGTAGTGGAAGAACAAAAAAGGAGCACAGAAAAGTCAAGAAAACAGTCTATATTAAAAATACTCAAAAGTTAAAAAAGCTTAACAACTCTTACAGAACAGATCGGTTTATTAGCAATTCATATTACAGCTAGCACCAGTGGGACTGAATTTAATAATGATATATCCGGTAAACATGCAATATTTGCCTTTGCACTATAGTGGAGTAGAAACAGACTGTAGAAAATAGGGATTCTCTTTTAAAGTGCAACTACTAATCAGACTTGAGTAAATCTACTCTTGTAGTTCTCACCACTGTTGACACAGCTGGGACACTGATGTGGGAGCTTCTTTGAAGAACTGGTCAAGAAGTGCTGTGCTGCTAACAATAAGGGCGACTATACTTACGCAGCATCTGACATCCAAGATATTCATCATGTACAAATGCTACGATAAAGGCCTGTTGCTTTGCTGGCTGCAGATCACTTAGCTGAAGAAACACGTTGCTTCTTTAAAAAAGACCGCAAAGATAAAGTGCATCTTTCACACTATCTGTTTCCTGTATATTCAAGTCCCCAAGAACCCAGCAATGCTGTTAGCATCAAACCTTGTTCAATTTAGGGATCAAACTGACAGCTGAGCTTCTCACTCCTGTTTCCACCTTGCCAACAGGGGGAATTTGTGGAAAGAGAAAAAAAAACAATGCATCCCATTTACAACAGTTCGACCACTCTGCTGCTCCCACTCCTGAGGTTAAACATATTATTACCTCTGTGGGCTCTTTGTTTGATCTGATTCAAGACAGGCTGTGAGCTACACTGACGCTGACTGTGTTAGATTATCACGCAAACACTGAATCTGGGGTCTGATATAAAGTCACTCCTCCGACCAGCAAGCAGCCAAGACTCTCACACTTTAGTTCCACTTTTCTTAGTGCTGCTGAGATTTTGGCACTCCCTGAGGGTTTCAATGTTAATATTCAGAGTGAAATGGGGGAGGAAATTTCACATTCAAGCCCTCAATCGCTGCCACACGCCTGGTATGGTAATTAGCCTACTTAATTAATCTCAGCAGAGTGCCTAGCACAAGGGCAGGTTCTAATTTGACTATATCAAAGACGAAGGTAACTGCTTCAACTCTGAAATCATGACACGGTACTTTGGATGCGTTTTCTACAGTTTGCCATTATATCAGAGGGCCCAATAATAGCTACTGGTTCTTCTGGTATAAACAACCCCACATCCAAATAATGAAGTTCCTCCATGTGTTCTCAATTACAGCATTAGAAGGACGGCCATTTTGAAGTGAAACTAATGAGCTGCGGGTTGTGAGTCGAGGCTGGAATTTTAAAGCGGAGGTAGAGGTGCTGGAAGGCTGATTTGTCAGTGCTGCTCGGATCCCACATTCCTCCTTTACCTCCGCCTTTGCCACCACCCTTGAGACAACGTCCAGCTATGCATTTGAGACAAAACCAGAGTGTGTGTGTGAAGTTTCCAGGAAGGACAGGCTTCGTGTCAGTGTGATTGAGAAGAGTAAACAGTCGCAGGTACAGAGCTAGCGCAGGGAGGGGTGGAAAAGTGTGAGGGAGATGAAAAGGGAGAGGGAAGGAAAAGCTAACAAGCAGATCATGACTAATAAACACAGGACTTTATTCTAATGAATAATTGCATTACTACTGCTCCCTGCCTAATAAAGACTTAGCTGATTGATTTGTGTTGCATACAAAGCCAAAAACAACATAAATTTCTCACATGTAGCAGGGCTTTCTCTGGCTTTAAGGTGCAGGAATTTTTACAAGCGTATTCACACAGGGATAGACTCAAAACAGATTTGCCACAAAGCATGACCACACAGGATCAGTGGTTTGACATGCTTGCTAGTAGCTTCATCGAGGATTTAAGAGAAATGTTTAGCTCATGAAAAAAAATAATATCACGCAGCTTGGTAATAAAACGCATAAATTAGATTTGTCAAATGTGTACCATGTGCGGAGCGTCTCGTTTCCAACAGTAAATCCCTGTCAACCTAACCTGTGTGCTTCAGTGGCATTCCTTGATATCAACACACAGCTGCAATGGGGCATAGTGTGACATATCAGTTTACTAAAAGCAGATCGGCTGTGAGTGCTCCCCGAAGTCAGCTACGGGCGCACGCTAGTGCCAAGAAACCCCTGCGATTACTCGAGTTGAATGAAGGCGGGAGAGGATGCCGGTTGGTCTCAAGTGAATCCTGGAGTGCAAGGAGGTTTGAGGAGGGAGGATGGTGGAGCATCTGAACATGTAAGTGGGTGAAAGACTTCTGGTGGTTGCTAGCTGTGTGTGCAACAGCACGAGCTGCATCAGAGCCCTGCCTCCCCCAGCAGCAGGTGTTCCAGCCTAGGTGAGAGAACTTTCTGACACCTGTAATGAGTGACAAGACCCACATGTCCAGCGACTCAGGAGGGGGGCACGCACACATACACACACCACCACCTCCAACTCAGTATTCACAACCTTCCGCCTTGTTCTGAGAGACTAGTCTGTTGACTTGACTGAAAGATAACTTCAACTTTATATTTTTGGACATTATTTTCATAATCGAGTTAAGACCAGAGAATGAAGCAACAGTTTGAAGAAGAACTGATCAAGTAACACACATGCGCAGTTAGATGATTGGATAAGGCTTTCAAGTATGTAGCTGAATAATACAATTATGTTCTGACCAACTACAGACAACTAAAATGTATCTCTGGAGCCTTAGAGAGGTGTGCAAACCACTGGTTTAGACAATCTGGCTACATTTTTAGCTTGTTTGTCTGTTTTCTATTACAAGATACAGAAGAAAAATACACAAAAATGAGCTCAGATTTGCACTAAACCAGATTTAGCTATTAGAATTAGCCATAAACACTTGAGACTTGTGTGCATGCTACAGCCTCAGAGGTATGTACAACACATCCCCGATGTCTTCCAGCTGAGCAGAGAAGGTGAGTGTGCGCATGAGGGTGAAGAACAAAAGCAAATCTTGTGGCCAGTGGGGCCTCCGCTATCAGCGTGTTCCTGTCAACGGTTCACCGTGTCACATGGCTGCGTCCGTAATGTAAGCGTGTGTCAACACACGTTTTGCATATCTAACGACAAACTGAGAGAGCAGGAGAGCTACGAGTGAGCTGCAGTCATGACAAAAAGCTAGTGCTTTACAATAGCCCGGCTTGTAAGGAGAATATGTAAGAGCAAAAACAAAACAACTACAAAAATCTGATATAAAACAACTTCTGTCTCGTGTGCTCTATTTAGAAGGTATCTCAAACTTGCAGGTGCACTGCTGCTCCACAGGAAGCAAGAGCTACCACATAACAAGGGTAGGGGGAGGGCCTACAGAGTGACTGCATCCTGATAGCAACCTCTGATTACACCAATCAGAACAACACAGTCTGGCTGAGGGCAGGGGTAAAAAAAAAAAAAACAGACCATACACCTCCACACTGCAGTACCAATAAACAGCAAGCCTGACTCACTCAAAGTCTACTCAACAGCAAATGACAAGAAAGCTGACAACACGAATCCGGCGGGTGGAACGTCAGGAGAGCTGTGGATGGAAGATGTGTCCAGGCGGCAGATAAACTCCAGCTGTGGCTCAAATTTTAATGAGCAGCTTTATGCGCTCCCCTTATTAATTAAATATTCCAGCCTCCATTTTAATCAGCAGATTCTGGAGATTACTGTCGTCCAACAGAGCTCAGAGAAGGGGACAGACCTCACCCAGGCGTGCGCGGGCCTGCATGCTCCTGCTCCATCAGCCTCATCCTCACAAAGTCAAACTAGCAGTTCTATTTCCCTGAAGTGAATCATCTTAATACAAAAAAAAGGTCAAACTGGTCCACGGGAGCGACATCCAATTAGTGTCAAGTGTGACTAATTATAATCTGACAAACGTGTGAAATGAAGTCAGAAACCCGAGACAGAGGCTAATTATAGCAGATTGAAACACTTCATTAAGCACAGCTTATAGCAAGGAGACATTCCACATCAGAATGCTAAAACGTCAGTGAGATGAAGCAGCGGCTTGACAGCAGACAGATACCGAGGCTTGCTGGGACACAAGAGAAATGGCCCAACACCGGTAGTCATGAAATGCACCTCTGCGTGCTCTCGTGAAAAGGCGTGAGGAACGAGAACAGCAGCAGTTTAGATGGGAAGGGAATTATTTATTGAACATTTGCACTGAACATCGAGTGTGTTCGCTGAGCTGCTCAGGTGCCAGCAGGAGGAGGCTGTGATTGCACCGGGCAATTCCCCGGTGAGTGAAACTGTTGAGCAGTTTGAGCGAAAATTGAGAGCATGCTCAGTCGACTGAGGAGTACATAACGATTCAACATGCCCCCCACCCCCCATTTCTTTTTTTGTGGGCAGGGAGGTTGTCTTACTAGGAGGCCACTTTACTGGATCATCACAAATACATATACATATACAAATATACACTGGATGCTTAAAATTAACTTCTCCCTAGATGATGCAAAAAACGCCATCCTTTCCAGCATCCTTTCCTAGGTGTAATAATGCCTCAATAACAATGGCAGCATGGGGTGCATGGATGTGCAAGGTGCTGTGAGGTCCACTCCTTGTGCTCACAGTCCACTGAGGTGGCAGGGTACCTCTGTGAAGGAGCAGATGGTTCTCCTGCTTGTGCCCAACACTTCCTCTCTGTCGGAGCATCTCTCTGACAGATGGGCCCAGGATCCTGGACCAAGCTAATCTCCAGCACTCCTCCACTTAAAGGCACAGTGGAGACAGCCTGCACTATACCTCCACAGTCCCGTGATTATAACACATCAATATAGGCGGACTGCTTGGTGACAGCCGCGCAACTTAACATGCATTTAAAGATTTAACAGACCACAATGTGCAGTACAAAAATGACAAGGAGCTAGAGGCCAAGTGTGTCTAACTTGCAGTGATACGTCTACCAGTAGGAACTGGTAAAACAATACAGAAGAACAAAGGAGAAAATGGGAGGGAAAGGTGGAGTATTTCTTTGAAGTTGAGGGACAAAAAACGGCCGTGCATGCACTATCTGAGCGCAGGGTGACAGCCTATTTTCAGCGGCGGAGTCAACTGCTGTCACTTTTGTAGATTTCGCCAGCAAGCATGCAAATACAAAATGCCTCCTCCCTTGCTTTACCGGGTCCTGACCACGTCTGCGCTCGGAGGAGCCAAAGTTGACATGTCGACAATTCACACCAACTATAAACGACTTTCGGAATGTCAGATGATATTCCGCCGCTATGCCCCACCAAGCGAAGGAAGAAATTCGGCTTTTTAATTATTCGTAACGGCGCAAAGGCACGTTGTGGACAGTTTTTTTTTTTTTCAAATAAATTTACAGCCCAGAAAAAGACGACACTCTCCCCTGTTGTATGCAAAGCCGTGTAGAGGAAAAGCCCCGCTAGAACAGCGAAAATGTCAAGCAGCCGAACGCACGCTGTTTAAAACCAAATGTTGAAATCTAGCGGAATTAAAAAAAATAAAAAAGAAACTATACGAGGTTACTTTGCCATGCAAGAAGTACACAAAATGAATTTGGACAGCTTAATAGCTCATATGCACACGGCTGGAAATGGCATGCGCTAGCGCTCAGTTTAAATGTACGACTTGGCAACAAAGTAGATATTCACAATTTCCTCAATATCTAAATTACTTACGCTTTTAGTGGATTCTGAATGACAGCCGCCATTTTGCTACAATGTAACGCAATATCGGCGTCTTGCAGTTCTGAGGGAAACCTACGGAAATTGACCAATCGGAGCTCAGGGTGAATTCGTGGACCAATACATCTGCAGCATGAGCGGATAGGGCGTGGCTTAATGGGGTAAACTGTCAAAATTATTTTAAAGGGTTTTCCCTTGTATTTATATTGTACACAACTGAATAACAGTACTTTTAAAGAGACCCTTACTGTAGCTTTGGATAGATATCACATGCAACTTCCTCTATTGGCTCACTGATACCATGCAGTGTATTGGCACAGAATATCAACATGGAAGCTTGGGTTTAATTATTTATTAAAATAATTATAAATCATTTATTATTATCAATAAGCACCAAGCAAGTATTATTTGATTTTTTTCTCTCGTTTATCTGAAACTGCAGTGCTGGAGGGAATGAAAGCAAGGCTCATAACACAAGGATGTTGCACACGATCTATTCCTCCCACATACAGTACAGTAAGTGGTTTGACACAGGGAGATTTAAAACACACCACACACACACACACACACACACACACACTTAAGACATGGAGGCAGTTGCAGATTATGTTTTAACAGACGGGAGCTGATACAACTTTAATCTTATGCAAATCTTCCACCATTTCTTCAAGTTAGTTTCCAACAGTTTAAATTCTATCAGTCATTTCTGCTTGGTTTGGAGTCTGTAGGTCAGGAGCGTTGACAGTAGCACCTTACCCTATTAAAAATAAAGGGATCAAATGTACATCTCCAACACTATAACGGGTATTTGAACAGTCTGCAAAGATATGCATGGCAATGAACTCCAGTACTAGTAATCTGACATAATGCATTTCCTATTCTATCCTGTGCAACATTGGCATCTCAAAGGAAGGTGTGTGCGTGATGAAACACTCAGACAGATAGATCTATTTTGAGACAAGGCAGACACAACATCTTCTCATCAGACATCAGAACCAAAAAGTTCCACGTTAGGCAAAGGGAGAATTAACTTTATCTACAAAGCATACAATCGACAAACCCCTTTTTTTTCCTTGTTGCTTTTTTTTTTGACAATAAAATATTAGCATACGTCTAAAAGGCATCGCCATGTGCTTTATATGATAATGGTCTCAATACTCAATAAAACAAAACTAGTTAATGATGAAAGACGCAATTAAAGCTCTCAGTCGCTACATATGGGTCGACGTCTCGCCTTCGACACATTCGAGCATTAGTATTTCTGCGTAACGCTGAAACACAAAAACAAACAAGACAGAAAAAGGGTGGTTCACAAAGTGTCACTACAAAGTCTATAAATATACATACAGTGAATGATGTCAACTCCAAAAAAAAAAAGCTAAAGCAAACAGCTTTCAATAACGGATGTAAAGTAACAGAAAAAACAAGTCATTATAAGCAGAACAAAAATACCTTTGTGCTTTGTCAACAGGCTTTATCATGACAGACTGCATCTACAGAGACCTGGAGGCATGAGTGGAATAAGTAAAACCAGTTTGAAGACTATTTGTGTATCTTTGAGTTCTGAAAGACAACATCCATATGCAACGCAGGCAGGAACTGCAAATATTAAATATTTATATAATAATTCAAACAAAAGTTGTCAATAAAAACATTTTGAACATGAAGTACATGTTGTAACATAAGAACACTGAAATGCCGCTAAGTAAAAGAGATAGTGAGGTTTATTCAGAGACCGCCCTCTGAACAAATTAAAGGCCATGATCTCTCACACTGTCATGCATGCCAGAGTGCTAATATATATATTTTTTTCAATTGTCGATACTTAAATAACTTTCAACATTTCCTCTAACATAGTTCTACGTCTTCATACGACCACATATTACATGATAAAATACCAGCACAGACACAGTGACCTGAATGATTTTTGGCACGCCAGATATCCAAAATCAAGACCTCCTGCGGTAGATTTCAACTGAGTTTGGAGCGACCGCTTTGTCACCTGGATATCTGGCTTTTTGGCCATGGTAAGCAACAGCCTATAACAGCTGAACAAGGCGTAGTGCAAAAACTAAAATGTTGCAGTACATGCATGCAAAGGAACCTGCAGTCAGCTGCATATGTTTAAAATATCTCTTTGCCATTACGTGTATGACATCAGAGAAAATGCTCAATAACAGGAATTGCTGGAAACTAATCACACCAACCCATCCAGCATTCTCAACTAGCTATTATTATTATTTAAATTATGTTTTTCGTTATATTTTCTGACAGTAGAAAAATAGCTCGACAGCCTTATTACATGTAAAATTAGGGATTCGTGTCAATAAGAATCAAAACATTGACACCGCGGACGATCAAAGTAGAAACGCAGGTTTCACACTCGAGTCGAGTAGCTCACACGTTCTGGCTGTTCTACAAAGGCCACGGGAACGCTGAAATCCCAAATCTGCTAAATGTCCTACATATATGCCTAAAAATTTCCCTTCCACTGATACGAGACAGAATCGGTAGACCAAGAGAGGTATACTCAGGCTGCTGAGTTAGTGAGCGGTTCAATACGGTGTTCTGAGGAAGGAAAGGCGTCCCTGTTAAAGTTCTCCGGGTTTCTGGCTGCAGCTGGTGCACACGCGCACAGGGTGGTCCCAGCCACGCGATGGAACGGCTCGGCGCTCGGGGGAGCAGTCGTCGCACACTCCTTGGCCACAGGCGCGGCAGTGGTGCTTGGACAGCTTGGCAGTGAACTCGCGCTGGCAGTTGTGGCACGACAGGATGTCCTGGTCAGGAACCCAGTAGGCAGGACGAGCTGCGTCTTTCACTAGGCCTAAAAGGAGGGTGGAAAATAAATGCGCCATACTCACAGGTCTGGAAACTTTATATGACACCACATCCTGTTTGCTTAAGTTTATAGTGCAATATAACCTAATAGAATCTCTGTCATGCAATAATTGTCTGTAAAATGATATCTGCATATGAATATGTAGAATATGTAGGCAAGGGACAAAAACTGTGGGACCAAATTCTTTCAAATTTTCACTTGTAGTCTTGTTATAGTAATACTGACCAATCTCAGGTCTAGCTACATGCAGTCTGCATTCTTGAAAACATTCATCCAATCGTTATCCATTATTTTCTTGCATTCTCCAACACTGAACAGCTGGTCAGAGCTGACTGAGCAGTCCTGGCCTGGATATCTGTTGGCAACACTGGAAGTTCCCCATAAACTATGTCAACAGATCCAGCTGATGAATGCTCTCTAATTTGATCTAATTATACCCGTGATTACTTCATACAAAAATTTTAGTAAAACCTGACAACATAATGTTTTATATGGGGTTAGTCCCAGTCGCCTTCTTTTAATGGGAACAATGTTTTCCCTGAATTTCTGTTGGGTGATGAGCAAGTGGTCAGTAAACACTCACATTAATCTCCTTTAAATTATTCCTTTCAGTCCTGTAAATTTAAAACGGCTTAAATCTTTTGCGCTTTACCAATGTTTAGCTTTCTCCAGTACTACCTGAAGTGCGGCCCTGTTTCAAGTTGTGACGGGAACACAGAAACAAGAGCTGGGTTTAAAAGTAAGTTGGCTAATTTTGTTGTGATTGGAGAGGACGTCACTCTGCGGTATTTTTGGGGTAGTCACAGATATGGAGATATCTTCAGCGAGATATCATGTGGTCCAAAGCATAATTATCTATGCCCTTTACCAGTAAATTTAGACCTGCAGGTATATATAGTATCTTCACATCTATAAATATTTAACTTGTGTTTGGATTACACAAATACTTTCATGGTTTGGAATGCTAATAAAGAAATCTGAATATGTTTGTGGCCTAACTGAAAAAGTGCAAAAGTTGACACTCTCTTCTTATAAAGCAGAACTTGTTCTTTCTTTTGGATAATCCTGACAGAATCCTGTCACACTGGCTTAACAAACACACTTAACAAAAGCTTTTTCTCATATCCACTGACCAAAGTGCATCCTGGAGGTTAGTTCAAAGCGTACAGAAATGATTGATCCCGAGTAGTTAAACGATCACTGAGGAATTGTCGCAGATGTATGCTGTGTAGGCAACCTAACATCAATATTAAACAAGTACAAAGCAAAGGAGACTCACAAGCCTGGCAAAGTCTCATAAACAAAAAGAACAATATAACTGGTCATCGATCACATCGCTGCACTAAAGACGTCTGGTAGATACAAGAACTGAAACACTGTCAGAGTTAAACATTAGATGGGAGAGCACTTCTGCATGGAGGTGTTGCCACAGATATGTCCTGAACAGAGTGTCCAAGGCGTTTTTAGGTTCGGTGGCCAGTGTGTGTGGGAGTATTTCAGATTTTTAGCTTATAAATATTTTTTGCTGGCAAGAGGAACTAGTTACAGGAAAATGCAATCTCCATATAAATGTAATCATTTTACTGCCGTTAACTTAAAACACTTCAGATGGCTCAACTGTTTCCTTGATTTGCGGCATAGAGACCTGCTTTTCATAGCAGTACATGTTATGTTAAAACTAGGCCATTAGGGCATCTCATATTCCTGGCGAGACTCCAGTATGACATAAATAAAGGGAAAATACTTCATTTCTTTTTAACTGAAATTAAGCAGAATGGGCCTCAGCCACAAGAGGGCATCGCTCTCGTGTACTACCATTTACTGGGTCATTTGTTTAGGTTACATAACCCTTCCCCTTTAGGTTTTGTTTCGGGGAAACACTCACCTAGTGGGATGTCAATAGCAGTGACCACGACTCCGAATGTGTTGGTGACAGCTTCTCCAACCTTCCTAGCAAGCGTTCCACCTTCTTCCTCTTCTTGCTCTGCTTCAAGTAGTTCTGGATAAATTTAAAAAAAAGACCCTTACTAAAGCCATGCTCATAGATGTTAAATGGCAGCGTAACAGAGGTTTGAGAAAAACAGAGGAGATCTGACATTATTTAGAGTGTGTGTACCTGCATATGAAGATCTCTGCTCAAAGCAGACATCACACACTCTGACAGGGGCAAGACCCCAGCCTCTCTCGGGGACGGGTGCAGCTTTGGAAGAGCAGCCATCACAGAA